GTGTGTGTGTGTGTGTGTGTGTGTGTGTGTGTGTGTGTGTGAGTGTGTGTTAAGGTTTAAAAGCCTGGGTAGTGTGTGATGTTGCCAGAAAATACTAGGGGAGAGGGAAGGGCATGTCTGGATACTTCCAACAGCTTGCACTCTCTTTGGATTCTGGAAAAGGTAGGGGTGGGATGCTCAAAATTAACACCACCTGTAATCATAATGAAAGACTGTAGCCCTACGGGACAGTAGAGTGGGGAGGGGCAGCTAGGGCTGGAAGACACAAGACAAGTAACAAGCAGGGTTGCAGTCCATCTGTTACATCTATGATGAGGTAAATGCAAGATGGCTGAAGACATCGTGGGTCAAACTGTAAGGAAGGAGCTAGAAAAGGAAAAAAGAACCAGGTAGAATAGGTCTTGGAGGAGGTGGGAAGGTGATGGCTGTGCAGGGTCGTCCTCTTTGATGGTCTGTGGTCATTCAGAAGTGACTGTTCTCCTACAGAGAGAGTGAAAACATTAGCATGGCAGAAAGGTGTGGTGATACTTTGTTTGTGCTCTAACAAATAAAGCTTGTCTGGAGATGAGAGTGTGGAGATAGCCACTAGTTAACCATAGAGCCCAGGCACTGGTGGCACACACCTTTGGTTCTGGCACTTGGGGATCTCATGCCTTTGATCCCAGCACCAGGGAGGAAGAAACAGGAAGTGGTATGACTGAGTGGAGAAAGGAATATAAGGTGGGCAGAGACAGGAGGTAGCCTCTTTTCTGTCTGAGGATTTCGTAGAGGTAAGAACTCTAGTGGCTGGCTGCTCTGCTTCTCTGATCCTTCAGCTTTATTTCCTAACAGCTGAGCCTGGGAGTTTTTATTGTTACAACCAATTAGATTTGTGCAACATCTAGCGACAAAATCAAGGGACTATTCTATTACTATTAATCTCATGAGCTTTCGGTTTTATTTTGACTCTTTAAAGCTTTTCTTAAGATATAAATATCTCAGAATTTATAAGATTAATATACATGAATGCATTTTACACTTTCTGTCATGATATTAATGATCATATAGAGTACTAACTGGTTCTAGAAAAAAGGCTTCATCTAGCTTCCTGTATAAGATTTTGGGTTTGAGTCTCTATCAGGTAGCTAAGAATTAAGTTTTTGTACTCTGGGAGTACATAACAAAGGATGGTCCTTTAACCTTTTTGAGATCTTCTGCATATGATGTATAAAATGTTGAAGTTTTCTGTAGTGAACCATGACCATGCTTAACAAAGTCCTTTGAAGTCTCCAGGAGGAGGATGGGGCCCCACAATGCTGATTCCACCAGGACTGTGATACTGCTATGCTGAACAACTCCGCCTAAAGATAGGCTTTGGACTAAAACTGCTCAGGACTGTTTCGAGGTGATTAGCTGAGATGATCCAGCCTCATAGACTACCATAGCCAGGACTTGAGACAAGTCCTGCACTTTTCAATTACACAGAGACTGAACTACAAATGTATAACGTTATCTCTTCCAGGACTTGACAGTTAACCCAAATTTTTCTTTTCAGGAGCCCCTAAAGATGCAGGAAGTAATTTTAAGACCACAGTGCCCAAATTCACAATAGGTGGGGTGTGTGATTTTTGTTATTCAATGGATTATGGATATTTGCCATTGTTTAGGGTGGTTGGTTACAAGTTGTTAATGATAATGGTTGAAAAAAAGTTGAACAAAGGAGATTAGATTCAGGGTTCTTGTTTTGAAAAAAAAGAAAAACGGGGATATAAATAGGATAACGGTAGACTATTAAATCTACTTTTAAACCAAAAAAGCAACTAATAATCTTAAATATTTTACATTGATATGGATCTTTGTATATTGATACAAAGTTGAGATTTTTTTGTTAGAACATACTGTACATACATTTCTAGTCTTGTTCAAGGTATTATACCTATAAACTCATTTAACAATGTAATGCAAATTTCTAGCCCTTGAAAGTTATTGTTACCAACTAATTAGGATATAAAGAAATGCAAGTTAGTCATTACAATCAAATTTGTAGTCATATTAGGTATGTTTTCAAGGTCAAACAGAGATATATTTTAGATAGACAGGTTGTCTTCAAACATTTCAGAGATCTGCAGAATATGGCATTTAAGATGTTTTAATAACATACAGTTCCTTTTTTTAAATGAAAATGAGACATGTCTGCTCCTGGAAGCACCAGTCTACTTCAAAGAAGATGATGCACATTGAAGAAACCCCACAGGAAGTTTCCTTTCTTTGTGACAAAAGTTAGCCACTGGGCAAGAAAGTGCTCTTGCCTCAACTGCTGACAGTATGCTGTCCAAATTGGACAAGCAGGACATAAAAGAAAGTGGCTGCCAAACTTTGCCAAGACAAGGTAGGACAGCCCTTCAGAATATCCTGCTTCACATAAAAGTATGTCAGATATGCTAGGCCTGTGGCTTAATATGGATGGGTGGCTGTCCCGGCAGCCAGATGTTTCTGTGGAAGTTGCTTACTTGCACTTCCTGCTTACTCAGGTAATATTATTTCCTTCTTGGGTCTTGGATGGAGTTGGAGTTGAAGACTTTAAGTTATAGTTTTCCTTGTTACCAGGTTCAGAAAAGAAATTCACTAAAGAGGTATAACGTGTTTAGGGTTGGAAGACATTAAAAGATCACTTTGGCAATACATGTTAGAATAAAAAGTGAATTAGGTACAACATTTTGAGGTCACCAAGATTGGATAGATATGGAGTATATCCTCTGAATTTGTCAAATGCAATGGATTAGACATTGTTGATGCATTTATTGCCTGTCTATATTGTATATAGTTATTGTACTTACTGTATATAATTTTTCTAATATTAATTATAACCTTTTTATTTTAGACAAAAAGGGGAAATGTGGTGATATTTTGTTTGTGCTCCATCCTAAGGGCAAGGCCCAGAGGTTCTGTATACACAATAGCAGCCTAGCTGGAGGTCTCCCCGCTGAAAGGCTGGCTTTCTGAAGATGTGTGCTAACTCATAATTTGTCAAAATAAATGAGTAACAGAAATCAAATACATAATATTGTCAATGTTCACCTTTCATGTACAGGACAGGCTGCTTAAACTGTGACAACCACACTGTCGTTTCCCACTATGTTCTTATTTTTCAGTTTTGGAAGGCGAGTGGCTCTGTGGTGCACGGGTATCGGTGTGTTTCTTTTTGGCATAGCATCGATCTTTATATTTGATTATTTCAGCTTCATGGTGATACGCTTTTTCCTTGCCATGGTGAGTTGTGCTTATTAAATAGTAAATTTAACTCCTTTAGGTTTATTTGTCTGTTAAGAATCTACTGAAAGAGACCATGGGCTGACTGATCTTTGTGCACTGCAGAAGACTTTCTGTGAACATTAGTACCTTCTGTTTAGAATGGTACTCATTAAAATGAAAAATTGCTGCTTACTTAGGAACAAATCTTTTGTTTCATTTTGCTTGGTACATGGCCTGTAGTTAAGAAAGCAATATTTAATTCCTAAGTGATTGTACTGGTCTAGTTGGAACCTATATGCACACACCAGATAGGTAAAGGATACTGTTAAAGCCATTCACATAATTACTGAAGAATGAGGAGGGGACAAGAAGCCTGCACGGGATATGGGGAGTAAGGAGAGCCATTGGTATGTGTGAATTTGACAGCTTTGCCCTTATGAGCATAGGTTAGCCCATTTGAGGCACAGTTTATAGTCTGTAAGCTTCAGATGATTACACCTGTCTCATTGGGTTGCCAATGACCTCAGTGGGATGGAGTGTAAGTACCCTTACACTGGCTGGCACAGGGTATGTGGCTGCACGGTACTGTCATCAGAAGTGCATCAGCAAACAGAGATTCTTTTCCATGCTGGCTGAGATGTCTAGACAGGTTTTCTGTGGCAGCAGCACTGATTTCTTTAAAATAATTTATTTTAAAGTTATGTGTATGTGATCATGAGTGCACATTTCCCCCCATGAGACAGAGTTTCTCTGTGTAACAGCCCTGGCTGTCCTGGAACTTGCTCTGTAGACCAAGCTGGCCTTGAACTCACAGAGATCCATCTGGCTCTGCCTCCCAAGTGCTAGGATTAAAGGAGTGTGTCACCACTGCCTGGCTGAGAGCACAATTTTTTAAATGTCAAATAAATAAAATTTGCACATAAAAGTGTACAAATTACAAATATCTTCGCTCAGTGAGATAACTCAGCGAGTAAGTGGATCTAATCAACTTCCTGTGGCTGGTGAAGTCATAGACCCTAGAGGAGAATCTACAACCACCACTCTCCCAAGCCAGTATAATCCCCAACTGCATTTTAATACTTATCCTCAAACCCATAAGTAAGTGCAGCTCTCACCCCTCAGCAAAGAAGCCTCTCTTGCAACAGACAGAGACTGCACAGAAATCCACACCCGGTCACATCGCAGACAACTGGCCATGGAGTGCACAGCCCTAACCAATACACCTACAACATGACCTCGGCACCCAAGGGTCAGGGAATATCACTAAAGAGGGGCAGAAAGGCTGTAAGAGCCGAGGACCAGGAAGTCGGCTTTGAGATAGTCTTCTATATACAACAGGAGCTGAACCACGAAATCTTGACAACACGGTCACTTAAACAAGTCCACATAGTGACACCAGTTGGCACTCCAATGTGGATGGAAATCCCACAAGGCCCCTTTCCTTGAAGGAATTCATCCCATTCCTTCAGATGAATACTGAAGGAAATGAGTGGTCACCAAGGGAGGAAAATCAGTGTTCTTAAAGGATAAGTGCCCCCCTCCCAGAGGTTATCAAATCCAAAGTGGTCAATCCTAAGCACATATGATACCAGCAATATCAAATTAACTCAGCAGATTGTATTTGGGTGGTGTGTGTGTGTGTGTGTGTGTGTGTGTGTGTGTGTGTGTATAACAATAATAATTGAAGAAGAGGTCATGAATTTGAGAGGGGGCATGAGAAGGGTTGGAGGGAGAGAGGAATAAATATAGTACTTATATATGAAATTCTAAAAAAATAGAATTAAGAGGTACCTTTGGGAAAATCAGTGCTGTTCTAGGATAATTTTGCAATAAATAACTGTTCTGTTTTCATTTTTATTGCTGTGATGAAATGCCCCTGCCCCAAAGCAACTTTCAGGAAGAAAGGATTTATTTAGCTTACAATTTCAGATTAGAGTCCATCATTGTTGGGAAATCAAAGCAGGAACTTGAAGCAGCTTGTCGCACCCATAGTCACAAGTAGAGAGTTAATGAGTGTGTAGACTGGAGATATGGCTCAGCAGTTAAGAGCACTGGTGCTCTTCCAGAGGACTTAGGTTCAATTCTCAGCACCTATAAGTCAGCTCACAACTGTCTGTAACTACAGCTCCAAGGATCTGACACCCTCTTGTGGCCTCCTTGGGCAGTGGGCATGCACTATGGCTCACAGACATGTATAGGCAGACAAAATATCTATGTACATAAAACAACAGCAACAAGAACAATACCTACATGCCTTAGTCCAGCTGCTCCTCTTTTACTCAACCTAGGACCCAAGCTGGGGGAATGACGCTTCCCATTCTTAGGCTGGGTCTTCCCACATTAGTGAACCCAACAGAGACAATCCAACAGGCACATCTGCAGGCCAGTCTGATCTAGAGAGCCCCTCACAGAGACTCTCTTCCCAAAGTTGTGTCAAACTGACAAGTGAAACCGGCAGCAAGCAAGTAAGCATACTTGCATTCGTTCCCCTCTTCTCCCTGCTGTGGAGGTGATGCCACTAGCTGTTTTAAGTTCCTGGACTTTAACTGTCGTGTTAAAATGGACTGGAACCTTGAATTGTAAGCTAAAACAAGCCTTTTCTACCCTAAAAGCCCCAAACCCAAACCAAATCCTAACAATCCCATTGACTTTACTACTTTTGCTGTTAAAGTCCAACATGAAACAACTGTAAGAAAAATTAATTTCTGTGACCATTCTTCAACTGTTACTTTGTTTTGTACGTATTTTTTTTTCTGCTACAGAGTCTCACTATGCAGCCCTAGCTGGCCTTGAACTCACAGAGATCTGCCTTTTGCTACCTCCCCAGTGATGAGATGAAAGGCACATGACACCATGGCCATCTAGAACTGATCATTTGATTCAATCTTTGTTTATCCCAAGAGCATGGAGAGAACAGTTTTTATAATCTGAGTTTTGCTAAAGTTAGGCATATTTTAGCCAGAGGTGGTAGTGCAGGCCATATTCTCAGCATTGGCAGGAAGCTCGTAAGTTGGAGGCTAACCTGGACTATGTGGTGATAAATAAAACAATAGCAAAATAACATTTTCAAAATATGAAAATTACCAAATTCCTATGGTAGTAAGTTATCTAACAACGTTTGCCATTTACAAGACCAAAACTCTTTGGCCATTAAATGATAATTCACTCTTCCTCCTCTCCATAGACCCTGATAAGCAGACAGTATGTCTTTATGATGTTGGCTACTAGACACTATCTCAAGTGGTACAGGATAACTTTTATTCTTTTGTAACTCTCTTATTTCATTTAGTGCAATGTCCTCAAAGTTAATTCATCTTTCATACATACCAGAATTTATTTTGTATTTAAAACTGCACAACAGTTCTCTGTATATCCCACAGATGTATGTATTCATCTGAGGATACATATCTGTGTTGCTTCTGTATTTTAGCTATTGTGAGTTTGTTGCTGTTAACACGGTGCAGGAACGCTTCCTCGGGGTCTCGATTCCCTTTCATTTATTGGAGGGGGGCTATATACTACTGAGTGGGATTAGTGAATCTTGTAATATGTATAATCTTTTGAGGAATTGCCATACTGCTTTCCACTGAGGCCATTTTACATTTTACATTCCTACCAACAGTGTACAAGGACCCCAACTTTCCTACATCCCAGCATTTCTTTTCTGTTTTTTTTAGAAGGTATCTTTGAAAATATTTATTTTTATTTTATGTGTATGAGTGTTTTGTATGTCTGTGTACCACATGTGTGCAATGTTCTCAGAGGCTAGAAGAGAGCATTAAATCTGACCAGACTAGAGTTACAAATGATTGTGTGCTGCCATGTGGATATCGGGAGTCAAACCTCAGTGCTCTGAAAGAGAAGCCAGAGTTCCTAGCCACTCATCAGTCCCTCCAGCCGCTGGGCCCTGTCTTAGAGGATGTGAGGGTGTGTCACCACAGATATGACCTGCCTCTATTTGACAGTGAAGTCAACTACCTTCTTAAGTGCTTTGGCCACTTAGGTAACTTTTGTGAAATGCCCACTCAAAAATCATCTGTCCATTTTTTAACTGAATTGGTCTTCTGAGTGTTTTGTTTTGCTGTAGTTCTCTGTATAATCCTTTACTATGCACACGACTTGCATGCATTTTCTCTAATTCCATAGGTAGTATTGGTAGTGTTTTTTTTCTTAATATAGAAGTTTTATCTTTGATCAAATCCAATTTGTTTATTGTTGTTGTTGTTGCCTGTCAAAATAAAGTTTTAACCAAGCCTACTTTCCTTCCCACTAGTCCCCATAAAATCTTGCCCCTATTTTACAATTAGGGTATAACAATGGCATACAGATACATAGATAGGCACTTTCAGAAGAAACAGAAATAAGTCTGCCTTGTACTGGAACTCTTATTAAACAAAGTGGCATCTAATGCTTTGATCATAAGTGGTCTCTCAAGTTTGCTACTGAGGTTGGGAGGATGGAAAAAGGTAAAAGAACCTGTGTAAAGAAGAAAGATTATTTTTTACTGAAATGAATTTGCAGAGAGCTCAGACTGTAACTGTAGCGTAATTACTGTTTCCTTGTTCCCCAGGCTGCAAGTGGCTATTTTGTCGTGATCATTGTCTATGTGATGGAATTCATTGGCCAGAAGTCTCGCACATGGGCATCCATGCATCTGCATACCTTCTTTGCTATTGGAGTATTATTGGTGGCTTTGGTGAGCTATTTGGCTAAATCCTGGTGGCTTTATCAGCTCATCCTGTGCACACTGACTGTGCCTTTCATCCTGTGCTGCTGGATGTTCCCAGAGACCCCTCTCTGGCTGCTCTCAGAAGGAAGATACAAAGAAGCACAAGGGATCGTCGACACTATGGCTATGTGGAATGAATCTAGTTCCTGTGACCTGGTAAAACTTTTGTCACTGGACGTGAGTGGTTCCCGTGCTAAAAACCGCAAGGGCGCCAGGAAGCTCAGCCTAGCAGATCTGTTCTATTACCCGGATGTTGCAAAAAGAACTCTCACCATTTGGTTGGTTTGGATCACAATAAATTTAGGATACTACACGTTTAGCATAGAGGCTATTCGAAAAAGAGAACATGAGTACCTATACCTCTTCATATTGGGTAAGTGGGAAATACATGGGGTCCAGTTTTTAACCATGTTTTGTTTATCTGTTAAAGCCAGGAACAATGTTGATGACTGTATTGGTATGATATCTGTTAGTGTCATTATATTATAGGATGAGTGTTGTATTTGTCTGAAAAACAGGACCTGAGTTACAAGGGCTTATTCCCCCCATCCCCAAATTTTCCTTGCTAGCTTCCTTCTTTCATTCCTAACCTGTAGTTACTTCCTGTAATAATTTCTAGAGTGTTTGGCTTGTACATGTTCAGCTCTCTTTCTGTGATCTCTACCTATGCATGCAATGTTGTGTTCCCTGGCATGGCATGAATGAGATCCTTTTGCAACACACTGTTCTAGGTAAGTGATTTTCTTTTTGTGTAATATGCCTTGAGGCCTTCCAAATGCCCTTAATTTGTAAAAATAACTTCATTACATGCAACTATTATTGTTGTCATGTCTACTTAATTTTAGTAAAAGCTAGAATGACTTTAGATAAGGCAGATTGAAACTCCAAGGATAACCAAATGTTAGCTAAATGGGTAGGGTGGGGAGACACAGATAGATGTTAAAATTTTTATTTCTCCATCTGGTCTGCACTGGTTGTTTCTGTGTGGGCTCTACATTTTATATTATCCTCAGAAAAGTATTGTTTTTACATTTTTATATGTAGACATTCTATCAAATCTTATCAAAGTGCCCTGATGACATATCTATTTTTGTTTATCATTCAGCAAGAATTTAAGAAGTATTTTTTGGGGGGCAGTGTTATAAGTCTGTAAGAAAAGCCCCCTCCCTCTGTATGTCAGTTTGAGAAGTGATGTGGCAGCAGCTAATGGCAGCAGACACAGGTGGCATGTAGTGTACACGGAGGGTTAGGAAGCTTCGTGGCACAAGCTGTACCCAAGAGTTTCATGGTTTTGATCTAAGAGTCAAGCTTTGCATCTATATAGTGAGGGATTTTGCATGAATGGATCTATAAATGTATGGATTCAGGCTTTCCTTCATTCTTCTAGCCAAGCAAGGAGAGATCTAAGACAAAGACCCTGCTCCACAAGGGACTATTAGATTTTTAAAATGTTTTGTTTTAGGATTAAAGTCTGATAAATGGGAATTTGGGTTATAGCTCAGTTGGTAGAGTGCTTGCCTGGCATACTTGAAGCCCTGGGTTCTGTGCCCAGCACTGTATCAGTAAGAGCCTGGTGGCTTGTGCCTATAATTTCATCACTCAGGAGGTGGAGGCAGGGATCAAAAATTAATTCAAGGTCATCCTTATCCTTGGCTAAACAGTGAGTCTGAGGCTAGCCTAGGG